ACTCATGAAGAGACCCAAATCCATTGAGATACTCGTACTTCTCCTCAGTGGAGAAATTGGTCACAGGCATGGTTGTATGCTGGATGAGGAACGTAGTCCCGAAACACAGTTATAGTCGTGAAGATTGATAAGGTAGGCAATGAATGTATCTTGAAAGCATGCCTCAATTGTTTGGTATGAAACAGCGCTTATCATCTCCCTCGAATGCAAATCTTATGTAGTATAAGAAGCCTTGGTTATCTGCATGTTTGGGGTGGCACGTGTGATTGGGATGCGCACATTGGGACAGCACCGCTGCAGTCGAAGCGACCAACCCCGCGTTGCAGTGATCCGAAGGGAAAGGCAAATGAGACATGATGGAATCAATGTTACGGAACTAACTGTCACGGAAAATTACTTTCACTGCAAGATGCAGTGTTTGAAGTCAATTCGTGCGTCCACTCGGAACTGCGGAACACAAACGGTTCCGAATAAGTTGCGGCTCATGAACACGGCAACGTTCAGGGCGTGGACATCTAGAAGAGGGGAGATTCGATTACATCAGATCTCAGCTAGACCTTGAGCTTCTATCAGCTAAGTGACTCAGCTGTTGCATAACGCGAAGGAAGCCCCAAGCCCGCCAAATGTCTGCAGTTGGGGAACAACGATGCAATAGCTCATTGGCCACCTTCTCGGAATGGACTCGTCATGCAGCCATAATTTTCGAAGTTCAGTTTCCCTTGATGACCAGTTTTGAAGAAAATACATCCAGTATTAGAATCTGCAAAATACCAGTTGGTTGTGCCTGACCATCACTGTTCGATAAAAATGAGCAAGATATAGCATCTTAAACATCCGCACTTCCCAGCTGTGGTATTATGTGACTTTGATGGCATGATGTATTGACTATGTAACTCTAAAATCGCCAATTTTTCATAGGCCTCTCATTGCTTTTACATTGCAATTGGAGGCAGTATTTGGCCAACACACTCTCCAAACCCAACTAATTGACCATCCTGTTCGCCAGCCCAGCCACGAATAACTACCGTGTCGCCGTCTTGGATGAACTTCCGCTCTTGCCCGCCATTCAGCTTGATTGGGACTTTGCCTCCTTGAGATTGCTCCAGCAAGCTTCCCTGCGTCCCTGCTTGGTCCCCTGAAATGGTACCAGATCCGAGAAGGTCTCCAGCACGAAGATTACAGCCAGAGATTGAGTGATGAGCCACCATCTGCGGCCAGGACCAGAGAAGATTCTTGGCAGATGTGCGAGTAACGGTTGTTTCCTCGCCTTCTGAAGCTGCATCGTGTAGAAAAGCGTGGTTAGATTAGCCTGGTTTTTTCCTAACGCAGCACATTTGCCATAGGTGTATGGTAGTCGGGAGGTTCCAACTTACGAGCAAGAGTTACTTCTAACTTGATGTCAAGAACGCTGTCAGACCGATCTTCTTGGAGATACTTCTGCAGTTGGGTTTCGTTCTCTAGCCCTTTTGTTCTGAATGGCTCGAGTGCGTCCGCAAGCACGACCCAGGCGCTGATCGAGGTTCCAAAGTTCTTCGCGTTGAACGGACCAAGGGGCACATATTCCCATTGCTGGATATCTCTTGCACTCCAGTCGTTCATCAAGACGTAGCCGAAGATGTGCTCGTCGGCATCTTTGACAGACACCGGGCTACCAAGGTCGTTCGGCTTGCTTATAAACATGCCCATCTCGAGTTCAATGTCGAGGCGCGCACATGGCCGGAAAACGGGCTCGGTTGCGCCAGGGGCCGGCAGCGCCTGCCCCCAAGGCCGTCTTAGAGGAGTTCCAGAGACAACGACTGAGCTTGCACGACCGTGGTAGGCAACGGGCAAATGGCTGTAATTCGGCTGAAGGGCGTTGGCTGGTCCACGGAACAGGACACCGACGTTGTGAGCGTGGTTTCTGCCCGCAAAAAAGTCTGTGTAGTCTCCAATGGCGAACGGGAGGTGCATAGACACCTCAGAAATGGGCCTCAAAGCTGCCTTTTTGAGGGGTTCATTGTCCTTCAACACGTCTGGATGAGGTGTGTCGTTGAGAAATATGTCCTGGAGGTATGAACGGACGGCGCGATGCACCGGTCGGCCAAGCTCGGCAAAGGCATTTAGGGTGGGCTGTGAGAACGTTTTTGCATGCTCGGCAGACACATTTGCTGCTTTACTGAAACCTCCGCCCGTAGCAAAAGCATCAAGGTCGAGGATGTGTTCTCCGATGGCGATAGCGGGCCTGTGTAATTGCTTATCTTTGCTCGAAATCACCCCGAAAGGAATGTTCAGCAGCGAAAAGTGCGACCGGGGTGGGATGGGGAGCCAGGACTTCATCTTGCGCAATTAGACGTGGAAAGTCTCCAGCAATTCTGTTGAATGAATACCTTAGTAATTCGAGCTTGGTTGATCCCGTGTATTAACATGCTTCTATTTACATTTCCATGATCGCCCTGACAGCCATCGAAATGGTGGGTTCCGAGAATCCGAAATTTGGTTCCGACGGCTCGGAATGCAAACAACCCCCTCATTCAATCACGAATCTGCCGCTGCCGGCGGTTCAGGGATCTTCGGCAATGGAAGTTTCTCGGCTTCTGTGTTATCTGTCCGAGTGTAAAAACGCCCGACAAGAAAGTCGATCTGGGGGAAGATGAGTCTGCCAAGTTTCAGTCTTAACGCCAGCTATTGATCGAATTACACGACAATTACCACAACACAACGACACCAAATTGCCCCGTAGCATTTGATACTCTAGAAGACCCAAGTCATTAGCTTCACGAAAATGTCTGAACAAATTACGAGAATCACTCTTTTCAAGATTCCAGACGAGGAGAATCAAAATAAAGTATTGTCGCTCTACCAGCAGATGCCCCAAAAGGCCTTGAAAGTGAGTATAACAACCTGGGCTGTTGTTTACGGAGTCAATCTCCATCTGGCTAGCACTGTTTCGATACCGTATCATGAGCTCTGAGCTTACTAGTTGTAGGATGGCAAGCCGTACATCGTCTCAGTGAAGGCCGGCCTAGCTGTTGCTGATCAAAGGGCCCAAGGGTTTACGATTGCGGCTATCTCTACATTTTCATCAAAAGAAGACATGGATTACTATGATAACGGCTGCTCAGCACATCAAGAGCTGAAGGGAATTGCTAAGGGTGCTCATCAGGGCTTTGCAATGGTATTTTTCAAGGGTTAGGTTCCAAATAAACTCAGCTGCCATCAACTATAGCCCAGAAAACATTCAGTGATCCAAACTGTTACCTTTATGGCTGAGTTCCGAACAGATCAAAGGACACCAACGACTTGCAGTCATAATCAGGTGTGATATCAATCGACAGGATACTTCATGATTCCCCGCCGCCCGTCGTATGTACAGTATACCTGATAGTATCATGTCACCTGAAGATGGAACAGTGCAATGTGCATAAAAAGATTAGAGCGACAATGTTATTCTTCTGAGATTATAATTAATAGAAGTTCGACTCCAAACCCATACAATGCCGTACCAGGATGGTGCGGAAAACAGCGACTTGGCTTTGTATATATCGAATGAGTTCTTCCGGGACTTCGAAAAAGGAAATCATAATTGGATGAAATATGCATAATAACTCCAGTATATAACAAGAACGTAGAGTTCCGTCTCATTCAAACGAAACCTGCATCAAACTAAGATTCCCCGACAGTGACTCGCTCACTCGTCATGCCTCCTCACTTCGATAGCCTAATGCAAGCAAAGACATGCTCGGGTTCCTTCTGGAAGCCAATCTGCGTCATTTGTATTCGACTTCCTTAGAAAGTCATGAAGTACAGTTCCTTTGTACTGGAGGGAAGTTTCTCACTTACGCTTGAACAACTAATGCCACTGAGTTCTCCATTGTTGAGCGTCTTTTCTCAGCCAATCCAGAATGGGGGCCAAAGATGAACCACTTCAATTGGTATCTCACTAAAAGCTTCCGCAAGCGTTATAATTGCAGGGAGCATTTGTAAACCTTCTCAGACAAGACACTGACAGCTTTTCAGAGTTCTTGTTAGTGGTTATCCATGGATCTTAGACATAGCCTTGATTGCTGGATCTGGCTGATGTCAGAGGCCTTATGGTTGGTGTTGGGCACTTACCCCATTCCAACAATGACGGTAGCCCCCAAACAAACATGGCAAGGTGAAAGGCGCCTACGTATTTCCAACAGTATGTTGGCTGTCAGGATACGTGCCTCTTACTTTGCGCACGAATCACAGTCAGAACAACATGTGGGGAAACTGAGGCCGCTCGTGCCTGTTCCCTCCAATGTCCATCTACACAAAACGTCTCGCCATGGACATTGAAAGATTCGACCTAAGTTCTCCCAAGAGATACTACGACTCCTAGAGCAGTACCTCCCATCGTGTATCGATACACACATTTCTTGAGTTGTGTATACTTGGTTCGGCGCATCTCCTTTTTTCCTCCTAACTCTTACATAGCTAGTTCCTCAGCCTGGGCTTCTCAACATATCGATCATCGTACCCCAGGTAGTCTCTCGACCGTGGATTCGAGAGGCATGGACAAAGATCGATGGATCTGTCAAATATGCGGCCTGTCCATTCACAGGACCTTATATAGAGGGCCATTGTTAGAGGACACTGAAACTGGCGAACTCGTTAATCCTCCGGAATTGAAGGATTTCGGCAACTTGGAGGACATGTTCAGATGGCTCACAGAAGCCCGTCTGCTTTGCGACCCTGACGACGAGTCTGGGAACCTTCCAAACTACGCAGAAAATCTCATGCACCAGTTGCAAGGATATGACGATCTACCAAACACAAGTGATATTCGGCCGAGATCCCAAGCATCAGATATCGAGGTTCATGTTGCTGCAGCAAATGAAGGGCCCAAGCTCCTCAGAGTTGACCCTGACGGTAGCCGACAGCATGTCAGCTTTCAAGGGAGCGAGGGGTACTCGTTTGATGACCAGATCTACGCTGCTGTCCACTCCGAATGCTTGGACATCGCTGAATGAGTATTCGCATCCTCAACGCTAACGCATATGCGGGATCTGCGTGGTTTGTGGACAGCTCTTAGATGGAGGCAGAGCATCGCTTTCAAATGCGGAGGCTGCTGGGGTTATCGTCCTCAAGCAAACTACACTCTCGGCCGCAACAACTACTGTGTGCCTCATTCCACCGTGGCTGGTGAGCCAACCTGGGAAGAAGAAGATTTCTCTGGGCTGCATTGGCCTGGCCCTTATGCTTCTACTCTATCAAATCTATACTACGTAAGTGCATGCTGTGCTCTTTTCGTCTTCTCTGATCATTGATATCTATAGACTCTCGCTAGCAGCCCCTTAGAAGTCGAGGGACTGACGAGCTGTCTGCTCCAAAGTTTACGCGCCTGCCGATCCAACGTCACTCGAACCAAAAAGGGTACCGAACTTGCCAACAATATTTCCAAGCTACCGACCGAGATCCTTGATGACATCTTCGCGGCCATGGGACGCGACATGCCTCCCGAGTCTTCTCATCTATTGCCCCAGAGACTAGGGAAGGATCAACTCAAGGCCGGGTCCTGCGGTCTTCTTCCCTGGCTGTGGGATATTGATCCAGCTTGCGTCGACGCCAAAGATTCTGAGCCCTGTCCTGGTGGTGAGTCTTTCGAGTGGGACTGGGAGCTGTTGGTGCGGCAGCTCAGCCGGAGCGTTGACTACGGTGTTCTCCCAGATGTACCTGACACTATCAGAGCCACACCCAGTGTCACTGGCCCTCAAGGCAAACCGACTATGGCAGGGGCTGGCTATCACACTGATTTAGCCCATGTAACCGCTGGTCTACACAAACGACGTCGCATATGGCAGCTACTCGAAGAGATATTCGTCGGTGATACATTGCCATGGCCAGCTAGACAACGTTGTCGCTATGCCTGCTGGTCACGCATGGAGACGCAAAAGCAGGACATTCCCTTGTGCTGGGACAAGACTGGAAACATTTTGGCCCGTCCTATCTGGCTTCCTTCCATAGAATTTGGATACTCGGATAATCCAACAGGTGAGGGCCATCCCATGTTCTTCAAGAGGCTTGGGGGTGGGGTACACAGGAGATGCGGCAAGGCGAGACCTCAGTACTGGCAGCGGCGTGAAGTGGAGAAGAAGCATGGTGACGAGACTGGTGAGACTGAACAGCAAGGCGATACTGAGACTCCGGCAGCGACTGTTGAAGAAATCTATGCCGTCCTTCGAAAGCTTTCATATCCTGTCTGAGATTCCGGGCTAGCAAGGGTAGATTTCTCACAGTAAACGATTTAGTATTAGGAACAGGGGGTTTCGTGATAAATCAGGCTTTCACATCACTGGTTCGTGCCGAACGACCAATGAAATATGCCTCATGTGATTCAAAGGTGCAGGCTGCCTTTCGCGAACCACCAGGGATCTTTCAGCTCCTTTCCCCCACATTCTTCTCAGCCCATTCCAAAATCCTTCCAACTTACAAGAATCGCCGACTCTTGGCTCGGAAATCAGACTATTTGTAATCCAACGCGTTTCTTCCATGGTCGCTATCGCGACATCTTCATATCTCGCGAAACATGTTCACCCAGGCTCCTCTCAACAAAGATCGGCGAGAAATCAGGCTCGTCCAAATTCGCCCCTTGGTTGATGGACAAGTCAGTGCTAAGAACACGATTGCACTTGACATCAAACATGCCTCGCTAGATGAGCCGGGACTGTCATACGCGGCGCTCTCGTACGTGTGGGGGAGCGCCACTAACACCACAGCCATCGAAATCGAGGGCGCCTCTTTCAACGCCACGTTGAACCTCCACCTTGCGCTCAAGCAACTTCGAATGAACGCAGTAGACTCTTGGCTCTGGATTGATGCCATCTGTATAAAACAGACTGACTTGAAGGAGAAGAGCTGGCAGATCAACGCTATGCGGGACATCTATAGCGGCGCTGACATGGTCTACATGTGGCTGGGTTCCGGAACCGAGAACAGTGACGCGGCCATGGATTTCCTGTCTCGGACAGGAAAGAGACTCCTCAAGTACCTTCCTGAAGATCTACGGTCGGACCACGAAATTGACAGAATGCTCTACGGGTACGTTGCAAGTTACCTCGGTCAGTTAATCGGAACAAATGCTTTCATCCGCGAGCCAGGAGATCCGGCGAATTTGGCAGAAAGAATCCCAGTTGACTCCGGGTTGGACACAACTCCATACGAACGCGGGGTGGAAGACCTGCCATTCTTCCCAGTGGCCGCGTACGAGACCCTGTGTGACTTTCTTGCTCCCAAGTCACCATCCATCAATAAAGGCATCCGCGACCTCCTGGCTAGAGACTACTGGCAGCGCATCTGGATCGTACAAGAAGTCTGCCTGGCCCGGAAGACCTGTGTAATGTCTGGCAGCAAGAGTGTTTCTCTTGACGCACTGGACGCTACCGTGGAGTTACTCTGGAGGATGCGCAGTATAATTCCTTACAACAGTCCGTTCTATTCCATGATCGACAAAAGTATTCCGCTAAGTGTCAATCATCTGACACCTCTGAGAGTTCGGCGTCAACACCAAAAGGGGTTGATTGTGAACTTGGTAGATATCCTGTGGACCGCGGAAGAACCGCCAAAGCGGCCTCATTATTCCGCCACGGATCCGAGAGACATCGCTTTCGGGCTGCTTGGTGTGCTTGCAGACCACGAAAGGAACGTACTCCGGGCGGACTACTTTATCACGCGGAAAGAGGTGTTTGTGGAAATCACGGCAACCATGCTGAGTAACCCTGTCGAGAGCGAGACATTACCCAACTTTACCCTCGACTGTATCACTCCGGGAAGCCCAAACGGTAGGCTTCCGACGTGGGTTCCGGACTGGCAAGAGATCGGTCGACACGGCCTAGTGACGTGGCCAATTAGCTACGGTACAGGATTCAAAGCGACTGCATCGAGACGGCAATCCCGAAGGGCACTGTACTCTGTAGTGAGAGGCGTAAAACCAAGCATCCTACAGCGAGGCTGTTATGTCGATAGAATCACCGAGGTGATGAAACCCCACGAGTGGACTCGGTCCGATGACTACTCGTGGCCCCGAATGAACGACCCCGACAACTGGTTCTTTTCAATCGCAGAATTTGTAGGACTCGGACCGGAGCCTAGCCCCGAGGAAGACTACGTTTGGCGGATGATCGCGCCCGCCAATGATTGGAGCTCCGGTACGAGCATGGAGGGCTTCGATGCGGTAGGCAAAGTCCCGGGGCTCCTTCGCAAAGTCATGCGGGTTCAGGACGTGAAGATCGCCGACCTAACCGGCGCAGAGGTTAAGTTCATCTTCGACAACAGCAAAGACGGAAATATAGATGACGAGGCTCTAGAGCTGTTTGGGCAAAGATGGAGGTATCATCTGACTCATCAAAACACAAACCGAACACTTTTCAAGACAGCGAATGGGATGCTTGGTCTTGGGCATGCTGGGGTTGAGGTCGACGATGTTGTGGCCTTGATCTGGAAGGCGCCTTCGCCAATCATCCTAAAACGGCGGGTTGAAGGAGGTTTTTACTTCAAAGGAGGTGCAAATGTAGACGGCATCATGCATGGAGAGTTCCTCGATACTAAGCCGGGTGAAGTGGAGTTTAGAATATTCTAATGTGTTCGTGTTGGAATTGTACCATGTGCTCTTGAGATTCACAGGTCTGCGTCTGACTTCTACTCAGTGGTCTACGGATCGGTTCACCCACACTCGTTACAAGAACCCCAACGCTATCGTTCTCTCTATTACGAGGCTGTTGCTGAGTCGAAGTACAAATTATAACGATACAGCCGCAGACTTAATTTCCACAAGTTCAATCAAGTTATAAGGTCGCACTTCAAACTTCGGTGCCATTCGTAAGTAACCTCCAGATGCAAACGCCGCCATTTGGATAGGCGCGCTGTCTGCATCAGCGTTGCAAAGCCGACGGGTTATCCAACTACTACAATCCCATGTCAATGCACGCATGCTACCTTAGCTTATGATTATCATGCGAGACGCCTTCGTATTTTTTAAACCTAGATTGCACTATCAAACTCATCTATGACGATCGATTCCGAAGAAGAAAGGCGTAGCTTAAGGTCCGGTATTCACAACGGCCTCCTCAGCCGCCTCCTATGCCAGAGCGGCCAACCTATCCCGGTCGCAAAGAATTCACTACAGCCAGCCGCCGGCATCTTCGGGAAAAACAAAGCTGTTAAAGTGGCATCATCTCGAGCAAGTTCACTTGAGAGGATGGGTAAAGGAAACGGGTTGCTTGCGACGAAAGAACCTTGTAGGTCTTCAGGGGTTACTTCCCTTGAGGAGTTCTTGACGTCGAAGGAGAAACATCTCCTCATCAACCGCAACAAGACCGTCTAGGCTTCCTAGGCTTATTGCAAAGACACGGTCGCGTGACGAAAAGAACTAGCGGGAGCGGCATACCTGGCACGATGAGGAAGAGAGAAGGTGAAGGCGTGAGGAAGTCAATCTGTGAACGCAGAGTTCGGTCAGGACAGTATCAAAGTGGAGAACCGGGGATCACGACTCTCATCCGAGTAAGCGAGATGGAAGACATCACAATAACGGCATACACCGAACTTAGAAAAGCGAAGCAACTCGAAGCAGGATCAACTAGTAACTTTTGTCTCATTAACATCAACAACATGTCGACATTCGTGAACACCTTTCCTCCCCTATATCTAAGGAACCCGGTAACGAAACCGGGACTCTAGCACTGGAGCACTGTGGGAGGGTTCAGAACCATCCCGCGCGTCTCGTTCTCTCTCTCTCTATCTAGCCTGTGTATGGGATCAAAAACTTTTATAATAAAGCCCCGACCTCCAAAATATGACAACGTAAAAGCCCGTTCCCCTCCGCCCCGCCCCATCTTCTTGTTTTGCCATCCCTCGGCCCCAGGAGCCAGATGAGAGAAAAGATAGAAAAACCTTGGTCGGGTCGCCGCGGGAGGACAAAAGGGGAGGGGGAGGAAAATCATTCATTTCCATTCATGGACACATACAGCCATTTTCCTCACACTCTTACACTCTCACACATAAAAAAGTGGAGGGTGCGTCGCGTGATTTCTGCAATTACGTCGACCGGGGGAAGACAGCCTTGCCAGCAGCCTTGGCGGCGGCGAGGGCGCCAGACAGGCCAAACTGGGAAGAGAAGCCGTCGATGCGGTGGGTGGCGTTGAGGTTCTTGACGACGACCATCTGGAAGCAGGTGGCGCTGCCCTGGCGGGAGGCGATGACGGACCAGGCGAGGAAAAGCTCCCAGATGCGGTACCACTTCTGGCCGTACTTTGCGTGGACGGTCTCGGAGTTGCCGAGCCAGTTGCGGTACCAGCGCCAGAGGGTGCCCGAGTAGTGGACGCCGACGGTGTCGATGCTCTTGATCTCCCAGCCGGCGCTCTCGAGGCAGCCGACGTAGTTGGCGAGCGGGGTGGAAGCGTCGGCGCCGGGGAAGATGTGCTTGTTGAGGTAGAGACCCCAGATGAAGTCCTCGTACTGCCAGGCCTTGCGGAGACCGGAGAGCTGGACGTACATGGCGCCGTCGTCCTCGAGCATGTCATAGCACTGGCGGAAGAAGGTGGTGAGTCTGCGGATACCGACGTGCTCGCCCATCTCGAGCTGGGAGATCTTGTTGAACTTCTTGGTGGGGATGTCGCGGTAGTCCATGCAGAGGATCTGGCTCTGGCTCTCGGGGATGCCGGCGCGGCGGAGGCCGTCGTTACCCCAGGCGGCCTGGTTGCTGGCGATGGTGGCACCGGTGACCTTGGCTCCGTAGTTGACACTGGCGAACTTGGCGAGGGTGCCCCAACCGCAGCCGATATCGAGCATGGTCTCGCCCTCCTTCAGGCCGAGCTTCTCGCAAACGACGGCCATCTTGTTGTCCTGCATCTCCTCGAGGGTCTCCTCGCGGCTGAGGTCGGAGAAGAGACCACTGGTGTAGACCATGCGGGGACCGAGGAAGTAGGAGTAGTGGTCGTTACCCTTGTCGTAGGTGGGCTTGATCTGGTCCTCATCCTGCTGGCGGGAGTGGAAGATGACATCGGGAGCGAACTCGAGGAAGATGAAGCGGAACAGGGAGTAGGTGAAGGCAAAGTTGGACCAGTCGTGGCGGTACTCGAGGGCGTCGAGGAGGTCGCCGTTGATGTCGACGAGGCCCTCGGTGTAGAGCTCAGCGAAAGTCTGAATGGGGATCTTGTTGCGGCCGCTGTACTGCTTGCGGTCCTCCTCGTTCTTGAAGGTGAGGTAGTGCTCGACGGGGCGGCCGGGGAGCTTGGCCTTGTCGTTGATGCGGGGAGAGAACCTCGAGGAGACGGTCCAGAAGGCGATCAGGAGGGGGACGACGAAGAGGATGAAGAAGAAGATGAAGGTCTTGAGACCGCCGCCGAAGATGCGGGTGACCCAGAGAGGGACACCGGCGAGGACAGCTCCGAGGATCCAGTTGGAGAAGGATTCATTGCCAGGGCCCTCGGCAGGCAGAGGAGGGTTGTTGATGGTGGGGTACTGGATAGGAGAAGGTCAGCTTTGGGTCAGAGACGCAGGGAGGCAAGAAATTGAGCTTGTCTGTGATTGCTCGCAGTCGATTGAGTCAATCCGCGGGATAGGGGTTTTGGTAGAAAGTCCTTACGTTGGTGGTCTTGACACCGCAGTCCTCGCCAGTGCTGAACGTGGAGGGCTTCGCGGCAGGGGTCGCGATGAAGGTGATGTCACCCTCAAGCTGCGCGCCGTCCTTGCGCTTTTCGTCAGCCATGATGGACGATGTAAGCTGATGGTGCTTATGTTAGAAAGGAAAGCTCCGCGGTTTCGATCTTTGTTGCGCGCAGCTTCGTTTCCTAACCGCGTATCGGGATACAAAGGAGGAAAGGTGGTTGGAGATGTAGTTGGAGACACCGCCTGTGGAAAAGGTGTGGACAGATTTAAAGCTGGAGCTGTTTCCGACGCGGGTCGCGACCACCAACAGAATTTGGGGGGGCCCTTGGCCCTTTTCGGGGGGGCTACGGGGGCCTACGGGGGGGTGGTAACGGGGTGGTTTACTTGGCTTCTAGCAGCGTTTCTGTCTTGGCCTAACCGCATTGTGTGTTTCTCGGACGCCGCTGGGCCCGCTTTTGTGGGCAATTTTATGCAGGGGCGCTGATAAAAGAGGGCAACGTCGCACACAACTGGCTGAAGTGGCCCTGGCAAGCCCAAGGACCCCTGCGGGCAATGCACCGCCAAGTCAGTTGAGGCCACGAAGTCACCAACTGTCAGGAAAGAATTCACGAAAAAAAGTCTTCACCGCCCGGAGGCCGGAGGGGTATACGGTATATCGTATGGGTGGCTCTTCTGGCCTTTCTAGACCGTCCAATCCTCCAAGGTCTCGACATTCCCCAGATCTTGGTTGAGACTTGATAGCCAGCAACACACAGCGTTGCACAGAACGGTAGACCGTAGAACCTAACCATCCAATTTCACCCTTCCGGGTTGTGGGTTTAGATAGCCCGGGCGTTCAACAGGACCTATCCATGTTGCGTCTTGAAATGATGATGGCCACGTTGAGCCAATCAAACAATGTCAATTTGCGAAATCAGCCAGGCCAGAATGAGCGGTGATGGGATTCAATCATAAGGTAGCGAAATGACGCCTCATTGTAATTGTGCCGTTCAAATATGCATCTTGTTTTTTGCATGACAGTAAATGCTGAATCCGATTTCGGCCGAGAAATGGCACGAGCTCAGGGTCCAAGGAACCTTATCTCAAAGTGCCCTGCCTTATCAATAGCCCAGATTGCTCCGGATCCGATCCGGGGTTCATCCGGGTTCCCGGGTCCCGGGACGGCGTTAGTGGATACATCTAACGGCATTGTGGGCCCCGCCGTTGCCGACCCAAGTCGCACTCGAACAACGATAAGTCCGGCCCGGTTCCGAGCCATCGTTACACTGCAGACGGTGCTGGGACTTTAGTCGGAAGGATCCGGCGCCTTGCATCACTAAACGGTAAATGGCACTCAAGCCAATCAGGAATGCAGCCTTTTGAGTGGGTCGTCCGTCATCAACAGGGCGTATGGAGTACCTTAACAGATCCAAAGTCCCGTAGTCCCTGATTCGTACATCTCCAAGACGTCCTCAGAGTGTTCTATAAAGTACTTGCGTAGATACATCGTTTACAACCAGGTTTGGTTTTACATCTTCAGCTCGGTCTACAGTACCATACTACCGTGGTCCAACATTTCCAATCGCTCAAATTCGAAATCTCCATCACCACACACCACCATGTCCCTCTCAATCCACGAAGTAGCAGCCAGCGCAGTCCAAGCCAGGTCCCGCATCGCCTCCCACATCTACACAACCCCCCTCCTCCCAGCCCGCACAACAGGCCGCGACGCCAACGCCCGCGTCCTCTTCAAAGCAGAAAACTTCCAACTCACAGGCTCCTTTAAACTCCGCGGCGCAACCTCCAAAATCTCCGCATCCCAAGCCACCGACTCCGACTCTCATAACAACAACCAAAAGCTCATCACAGCATCCTCGGGAAACCACGGCATCGGCGCCGCCCACGCAGCTCACGCCCTAAACCGCTCCCTCACCGTCGTCCTCCCAGAAACGGTCTTCCCCGCCAAACTCGCCAAAATCAAGTCCCTCGGCGCGACCGTTATCCTCCACGGCACAGAAACAGGTCTCGCGGAGCAACACGCCCAACACCTCGCCGCCTCGGAGGGTTACACCTACATCTCGCCCTACAACGACCCCCTAGTCGTCGCAGGCCAGGGCACGATCGCTCTCGAGATCCTAGAACAGTGCGCCGCGCAGGGAATCCGCCCGCTCGACAACATCTTCATCGCCATGGGCGGCGGGGGACTCATCAGCGGCATCGGGTCCGTTCTCAAGGCATTCGCTCCGCACGTGAGAATCTACGGCGTCGCGGCGACGAACTCGCAGGCTCTTGCGGAGTCTATCCGTGCCGGGAAGGTTGTGGAGACGGAGCATTTGCCTACGCTTGCTGAGGCGGTGGCGGGCGGGATGGACGAGGACTCGATTACGCTGCCGCTTGCGAGGGAAGTGGTGGATCGAGTTGTTGGTTGTAGCGAGGAGGAAATTGCGGACGCGATGAGGAGGATCGCGGTGGAGGAGAATATGGTTGTCGAGGGGGCTGCTGCGTTGGCGTTGGCAGGGTTTGAGAAGGTTAAGGAGGATGTTGAAGGCCAGACGAGTGTTATTTTGCTTTGTGGGGGAAACGTTGATCAGGGGGTTGTGAAGAAGATTGTATATGGGCTGGACTAGCAAGGGTAATTTGGATCTGGGCTGTGTAGACTCTATCTCTTTATAGCTGCTGAACTGCTTCATAGGCATGGTAAGTGTCGAGAGTTTTATAGAGCTGGGCTCAAGATAGCAGCCATGGGCTAGGCAGGAGAGAGCCAACAACATGTTAGATTTCCAATAGAGAAATATCAAATGATGTGATACGAATTATTTACGTATTAGGAGCATCGCAACTCCGAGACTACCAGGGCCAATTTTGTCCCTCCTTGATGATGTCAAAATATATCCAAAACTCCAAGACACCAGAGCCTGACCGAACCAACCCACCCAAACCTCCTGACCTCATACCATCTTACATCCACATCAGATTCCGGCTCTGCCTCCGGTTCTGCTGCCACAACGGCCTCTCCTCAGACCCATCAGCCCGTTGGCCCGCATTCGTCGCCCCAGCGCCAGCGCCGTAAGGGCTCCCATCCGTACCCGAACTGGTCGCTCTGTGTCCCCCTTCACCCCCACGCCCAACAGCGTCATTATACCCTCTGGAAAACTCCTCCATCTCGCCGTGGTGCGTGAGCGGGGTGTCGTCCCCCGTCGACCGGGACGCGCCGGACGCAGAGGCGCCGCTGGCGGGGTTATATCCTCCGTGGGGGGCGGACGACGGCGGGCTGTTGGCGGATCGGCCTCCGCTGATGGAGGTGGTATTGCCGTGGGCGCCTGGCATCATGGATGGGTGGCCGTAGCCTGCCTGGTCGAACATCACCTCGCCGCCGGGCACGGGTGTGAAGTCCTTTTGGTTGGTTTGGGGGCTGCGAAGAAGTTAGTTTCGTTGACTTGATGATTATGGTGTCATGGACAGGTTTTGGACTTACACATAGGTGGGACCTTTGCCAGCGCCAGGACCGAGACGCTTGTTGCCACGCTTGCGCTTGCGCATCCAGAGTGCTACTGAGACGAGGGCGACGAATACAGCGCAGCCGCCGATAACACCACCGATAATGCCCCCGTTACGTCTCAGTCCTGCCGCGGCAGCCTCGGCATTTACTGGAGGAGCGCTGCTAGTGGCTGCTGGCGCAGACGAGGTTGATGACTCTGATGACGTTGTGGAGGTGGTTGAAGATGAGCTGGTCGTGGAGCTGGTGGTTGAGCTCGAAGAGCTTGTAGTCGTAGAAGAACTGCTCGACGAGCTTGAGCTGCTGGAGGAAGAGCTACTCGATGAAGCGGTCTCCTGTCTCGTGACGAGGCCTGAGATGTGCGTGATGGCCACCGTGGTGCTGAGTCCTGAAGCAGTAGCAGCAACAGTCGTACCCTGACTTGTCGTGCCGCATCCATACTGGTAAGCACCGCCATCGAAACTATTGCGGTAGCAGACATTAGAGCCCTGGCAAGTGAAGATGTACGGATCCGAAGCGGTTTGAGTGGGGCTGTTCTCGTCGACACAGCTCGTGTAGACACCCGTCGTACAGGCGGCGCCGTTCGGGCAGCAGCCAATGGCCGAGACGGAAGCGTCCATGGCGCAGTGGGAACCAGCAGAGCATGTCGCTGGCAAATTCGGGTCACCGCCGAGGTAACCACAGACTGTGTTGGTGCTATCGTCCTGCCTCCTCATAATACCCAGCCATGGCGCCGGTGTTGCCAGCGGCCAGCTACGGACGTCCAGTGTGCGGTAGGCGATGTGAACTTGAGCATGCTCTGTTTGGCGGGGTAGAGCGCCAGCTTCGGTCAGGGCGAAGATATTCGAGAGCAGCAGTATCGCCGCAGCCGTGGGCGGTAGTCGCGCGAAGCAGTCGTTCAACAACATCTTGTTGTTATGGATACGTAACTCTGCGAGAGGACCTTTTCTCCTAGCTCGGCCCTTCCTGGGACTCTCGTTCCTTTTCCCCGTTCCAAAAAGTAACCTCCGCTGAATACCAGGATGATTTATGACGAGAGTTGTTGCTCAATGGTATCCATATAAATAATAACAGAGCAAAGAAACAAAAGAGACTAGGAGAAGGAGACGGGAAATCTAGAATGATGAGTAGAAGGGTACCAGGATAGGCAAAAAAGGAAAAGAATGAAAAGGAAGAAACCGATGCTGACGAGGGATTGGGCGACGGAGTGTAATTTAGATCGGAACAGGGACCTCTGGAGGGTGGAGGAGGGGGGTGTTCGTCCTCCGGGCCCCCGGGGGGCGACGCCAACGAGGCTGACGCTGATTGGGGAGCTGTGTTTCAAGGATCCTCCGATCGTGAGCATACCAAGATTCGACTCTCACTCGAGAGCAGAAGGGAAGGGGGAGGGGCTGCCGGCCCCTCCTGGGCCCCAAATGCAACAAGAAAGCATGCCGTACTGTCGTACCACAGCCCGCAGATTCGCACCGCTCGGGGCGTTACCGGGGGTCTGAAGATCTCTTGGGATCATTCATACATACATTGGGGTCTTTGGAGGGAACGTTTCTGCCGTGTACCGTGGCGATGAGAGACAAGCGCCCGCCCGGGACCAGTCCGTGCGGATCTGAGAACCGCGCAGGCAGCAGAAAGGCGAGGGAGGCTCGGTGCCGGTGAGAGTGCGAGGTGAGGCTAGTGAGTTCGAGCTACGGATGCTACGTATGAAAAGAAGGATTGGCAGACGGAAGCTAAGAAGAAGGGAAGCCAGGAACAGGCGGAAAGCTTTGGGAACTTTTTTCGCTCGCAATTTGCTTCTACCCACCTACCGGCCGAGCGAGTCGCTCATGCTTTCGACTGGCCTGACCTGAGCTGGTCTGAGTATGATCCTGATTGCTTGATGGGGGGGGGAACAACAAGACATGACGAGAAGCCCGATTGTGATTCGTGAAAGAGTGATCGTCCCGTCGGGCTCGCTCGCCGCTCGCCGTGTCCGGCTGCAGACTTCTGTGCATGGCTCCCGTGGCCTCTGCAGGAGGTGATACAGATCATACAGACACCAGACAGCGGCTGGCCCCCAAGATGCCAAAGCTGTTGTTTCTCCTCTAGTGGAACTTTGAAGTTGTGCCTCAGCCCGCCCCTCCCTCTCTCTTTCTCGTCACCATTGTCTGGAACGATCTTGGGGGCAGCCGTTGGTCTTCCTTCCACGGCCCTTTGTTCTCTCGAGAGTCGCCCAACTTGTCAAACTTGCATGTTGGTTTGGCCGTTCAAGTCCAAGTAGACAGGGATGAGAGAATAAATGATGGAAGAAGTCATTCGATGGGGGATATTGAAGGAGTTGGGGACCCAACGGGGAAATGGAGCTGGATCGTTGGATCGTTGGAAGGAAGTGGGTTTGGGCCAGAGAGCAGGGGCCATTGAGGCGCGTTTGTCCTCGCTTGTTTGCGCTGCCTCCACCAAGCCAGATCCTCCGGACATTATATCGCTTATTTGCACTGTTTTGGATAATGATATATGCAGTATAATCACAGTAGCACAGTGTCCGGTGATCGCAGGCTGGCGGCAGTCATGGTGCTTTTTTTAACACGCGCTAATTCCCGCGCCAGGTGGATCCCCGTGGCGATGCTGTCGAATCGTCAAATCAGATACCTTCCATATTACCTAATCAGGGTCTTACAGTACGTACACACACCACGACATTTGAACTTGCCGCAGCAGCATCATCATCCAAACCTGAAGTGCGATGAACTTATCACAATCCCCCAAAGTCTTCACCTGCGATTATTCGCGCAAGAACCAGAGAACAGATGTGCCGACATACTGCACACGCAGTCCATTCCATTCATGCATGCATGTCAGAAGCAACGCTGTGTTGTTTCATGACGACATTCCCAAGAGTCCGATTGGTGTCAGCACGAACTAGGCACCTGAGGTAAGGTAAGAAGCTTGTTCTCGGACACATCAAAGGTCCATCTAAACTGCCAAAACGCCCGAGCTATTCTACGCTACACTGATTGTACACATGATGCCACAATCCAGGGCAAGGCAAGCAGGTACCTTGGCTCGGAACAGTGGCAGTCATGTTCCCCCTCTAAACATGATGGCTTCCCCTAGCGCCAGTCCTGTCATTGCTGTCATATTCATCCGCCGCCAACGGCCTCTCCTCCAAAGCAACATAGTCACCCTCATCACTATCCACCTCCAAGCCCGCCGCCTTTTCCTTCTTCTTCTTCTGCTCCCTCGCCGCCTTCTTGGCCAGCTTGGACTCCCTCTTGGCAGCCTTCCTCTCCAGCTTCACCTGCTTCTTCTCCTGCCTCGACAGCCGAGGGAACTCGCTGTTGTCGCCCCTGAGCACGATACCCGGATGCACAGCGTTGAGCAGCACGAGCGCGAGCACCATCGGCAGTGCGTCGAGCCCGAACGCGTAGTTCTCGTTTGTCAGAATCGGGTTGTCCATGTTCGCCCCCGGTCCGAACTCGACCAACCGAAAGATGATCCGGATCTCCGCGAAGAATAAGTGTCAGCTCGGTCCGTTCATCCCGTCTTCTTGTCAAACATGTTCTGTCATACAGGGGTGGGGGGATAAGGAGGTGCAGGTTGCAAAGACAACTAAGAAAAGAAAAGAACTCACAATGATGAGAACCAACACCACAAACATCACCAACACCATGGCCCCGATCCGTTTCAAGTTGAGGTTGAATCTCTGTGCCCGCCTCATCTTTACGTAGAAGCGACCCATGAGTCCGCAAAAGACGACAATGAAAGCGAGCTGCAGCCCGCACCCAATCATGTACACCTGCTTGCCGGTCCGCAGGATGGGGTCATCCGATGCGACCTCCGTATTGGACATCATCGCGCCGCCCGCCCCTTGCACCAGGAAGCAGACGACGTCCATGGTGACAAAGATTTTGGTGAGGGCCGTCGCTTTGATGCGGAACACGCGCTGGTCGGGCAGGACGAAGTAGACGAGTCTGGCGGAGAGCATGTAGGCGAATGCATTGATCCCTGGACGGCGTCAGCTTTCTAGCTTGGACTTTGGCTTCTCGTCACGCAGATGTGATACGGAGTCATGTAGTGAAACGAACATAGTGGAGCGAGTAGGAACAAGAGCTGCCCGCCAATCTGGTAACCAATCTGCTGTTGGTCCCTGGCGCCGAG